GCTGCCCTCTACCTCTACTAAAGGCTAACAGAACTCAGTTCTTCCCCAGTAGGGTGCTCCACGGCTACTGGATTTTTTCGTTTCCCCGCGCCAAACCAGACTGGTTAGAAGCGGAACGTCGGTTTGAGAAACACTTACGCGCCTTGTGCAGGGTACAACTAGTCCGAAGGTGACGGGTGTCTCCAAAGACAAAACACCGTCGAGTGTTTACACGCTGCTCGGCAGCTCGGAGTACTTCCTTTCTTTCTCAGCACAGCTGAGATCCATTGGTTCAGGCCCGCTCGACAAGCTCTTCCCTTCCTTTTGAGGGTATGCATTCCAACCAAGTCGTGTCGACTTAAAATTGAATAAGGCATTAAGTGCCGCATTCACCGATTTTTCAAAAGAAGACGAAAGACTTCCATTTTAGCCACGTCAGTGCGGAGGCCCTCCGTAAAGACGGTCACCGTAACTGCCACAGGGAGAGGTTCGGCCGCCATCTAGGCAAGGAGTGTTCCCAACTTTTGAACAATGTCCACCAACTCCTTCTGGCCCTGTGGGGCGGCAAGAAAACGCGATCGCTCTTGATATTCCCGGTTAGGCGGCGAGAACACTCGCAAAAGCTGACGCTTCAGCTTGTTCCAGGAGGGAAACACCGTTTCAATCGAAGTACCACGCGTTAGTGCCCATTCGCGCGCTCGGCCCCTGAGCTTGGAGATAGCTAGTGCCACGCGCTGTTGCTCGTTCTGGAGCCATAGCCATCTCGGCCACTCTCACCCAGAGAAAGAGAGTCTCTCCATCCTTACCCTCAGATGTCTTAAAGATCATAATGAGTGGCCTGGGTTGGGAGGAATCATCTGTCATCGACGGTGGCGTCATGGATGCAGTTGACGCTGACAGCTTCTGCTGTAGGTGCTCTAGTAGAGCATTTTTGTAGCTTAAAAACGCCTCTAGGCGCGCGATTATCATTTCGTGTCCTTGCGAAGCAAGGCGTTGCGCATCCTCAGAGCCAAATAGGGACATCATTTATTAAGCACTTCTTCAATGCCTGGGGCCAAAAGGAGAATTGCCCTTTCCTCACAGAGGATCAGTCGTAACGACTCAGGCGTAGATTAACTTCAAGTGCTACCAAGTGCAGCGGGGCTGCCGTAGCGCTTTGCTTCGAAGAAGCTTGCCAAGGTCACCGACCTTATATTCTATACTAGGACCAGTATAGTGTAGCGGGCTATAATCCGCTACCTCCAAGAGTACTTAGAAACCTTAACCAAGGCAAAAACGCTCTACCGTTCAAAATTAAACTCTATATTTGCGGCAGAAATGCCTATATCTTAACCTTAGGTTTTCCAAATTAAATAGTAAAACCATAACTACTGGCAGTCTTGCTGCATAGTGACTTCTTGCTACGGTGTAGCCACACCATTGTGTGATTACACCGACTTGAATATCCACACTTTTGTACAGTCACACCATCTTGTGTGACCCACCCTTATATACAAGGGTACGTGTAATCCCATTACACAAGCCCTTTAAAGCTGGCGATATCTTGAAGGCGAAATCCATCCCGACGACACCGTGAAGCTGGGCCAGCTTTTGTGCAAAGGAAATACACCGTATTTGTACCACATAGTCTCCCTTGAGGTACTTCGTAGGATGGCGCAGCTAAAAAAGCACAACTGAACGATTCCTTTTGATTTTTAAAGGCGCAAGATGGGTAAGCAACAAGCCTACGCCATTCAACACTCAAATTAATTCGTGTATACTCGGCACTATTGTTTGTCAAAGGTATAGTCGAATAGAAGGGTTATGACTGTTTCAATCGCTACTGTTTTATCTGTAAGCAATGCTCTCAAAGAGCTGTGACCTGTCGGATTATGAAACATTTCATTGCACTTGTACCTCCACACATTGGTGTCTTAGCTGCCTGCGCCGCGGTATGGCGAGCTACTGCAATCAAATCTAGTCATAACTAACGACGTGATAAAAACCTTGTCAAACTTTCTAAAGGTCGGTGCATCTTTTGTGTTTGCATACAAGCAAGAAAACCTGGCTGTGATAGGTCAAATCCACTAGTTACCGATTGGAGCTCCGTAGAGGGATGCATTTAGTTTGCGCTCGGGAATGAACGATGTGCGTAGCTCAGTAAGAACGTCTGAAACGTTCAAGCCTCAAAAGTCTACATTGGATTGGGAACGGCATCGCTACGTAGCCTGCGGAGAAGACGCAACGAGTGCGCTGGGGCCCACTGACTTGACTACTCCGATTATCGAATATCTCCCCCTCTTACGTTATAATATTCCTCACACCTGCTGTGATTGTCTTGGTTTCTCGGTCGCTCGACTTGGTATGAATGAGAGGTGGATGAAGGGCCGATGCCATTATGTGCTCTTAGAGGCGGTTTGTTGGAAACAAGTCAAGTCTTCACCTAAGTAAACCAGGAGGAGTTATGGAACTCCCAACCATTTGCATAACTACATCGCTAAAAGCAGAAATAAATTCACTTGGAAACTTACCTTCAAACCACCAGGTCCTTCCTTCCTATCTGTCATTTACAGCATTTTGAGCAGAAGTAGCATATCGGGCCACCGATTTAGTTCAACACGGTTGCATTAAGCAAGGAACTTTTGGTGCATCGGATGTTTTAAAAGCTTTTAGTAAAGTACTGGAATCAAGTCTATCGTTTGTCAGACAGATTCAGAATAGCTAAATGTTTTGTACCTATTTCAAAGTCAGAGTAATGAATATCGAAACCGATGGCTTCTTTGGTCAAACCGACTACTAGCGGGTAGTGAGCCATCCAGCCCCCCCCTCTTTTTACTTTCACAGATTACTTCTGATTTCACTTATGTCACGCAAGCTAACATTTCTGTAAGCCTGCCTACCACACAAACATCACCTCTTGCAGACCACATGCTCCGTGATAAGGACCCACCAAAATGAAAGTCATGATTGCGCAATAGAATGTGTCCATTCTATATTGCGATTTTATCTGTCACACTTTCACTTGTTGTGGCTTTTTGTCCCGCTATGATTGAAACAATGCAAGGAGCGACTCAAAGTCCGTTCAGTTTACTTTTCTGACGCTTCTTCTCGGGCGGCCAACCCCGTCGTGGAGCAACTTCAACGTAATCATCTTCGCCTTACAATAATTAACCTGTCTTGATGCATAATTAAGGAATTGTGGTTGATCGACAGAATTTTTTTAGCTACCCCGATCGCAAGAAAAAACACACGCTGTCTTGGACCTGTAAACAAGAGCAGATCTTTTTTTGCTGAGTTGACGATATAGGCCACGTCTACGCTTACCAAAGTAAATTTTTGGTACACCGCTCAAGTAATGTGATAATTACTCTAAGTTTTTTTCAAATTTTCTTGTTTTAGCAGCTCTTACATGTAACATGTTGCATTCAGGTAAAAGTGCAGAAGACTCACACAATGACAATGCATGAGCTGATGTGACTAAAACTTTTGACAGTGATAAAAGGCACAAACTCAGAGCGGTCCACTTTGTTCACATATTCGCAAGCTTCCTTTGATATCTATGTAAAGCCCAGCTCTATAGTTCACCCCAATTTAATTTTGCAAGATCGAAAACCAGCTCGATTTGCTTATTCTCTACGAAAATTTTGTTGGGGCGTCGTACACAGAAGCTGTAGTGGGTCCCCGGATATACCACCGCGTTACCTTCACCTTCAAAATAATTGATTTAGCTATCTAGGTGTCATTCATTACTGATCATAGAATTTATAACTTTAGACCTTAACCAGGAAATAATTCCAGTCGACAAAATTCAGCATTATCTGACGCGAAACAAGCAGCACACCCTCCTAATGGCGTCAAGATCGATTGCGCAAAATAGAATTCCTTGTGGCAGATTTTTCTTCGATGGCCAGAGACAAAAAACACATTTGTTGCTGCTGTTGTGGCATCAAGAACACGAAAAGTGAGCTACTAAAGCCGTAGCAATTCCCAATTACTCATCTCAGCCGTTCAAGTAGCCAAGAAAAAATGTCGTGCTAAATTTCTTCAGCAAAAGCTTTTTTGCTTCAAAGCATATCGTGTACGAATCCCCCCACTCCATGTTCACACCTCATATCTCTGCATCTGTCTGATCCAATATTAATAATCGCTATGCAATCTTTAACAAAACAAACGTGATGTTCAAACTCGACTATGAATTACTTGCAGGCGCACAAGTATATTAAGGTTGATGTGTAGATAAGCTCCACATTCCATCTTTTTAAGCCCACGTACCATCTATTTGCGTCCACCGCTATCTCACTTAGTGCATATGTAAATACCGTTTTGGTTCGTTCTGATACGCATTGAGGTCGGACCCCCTTTCCACTAGCAAGGAGGAGCTGGTAAAAGTTTTTGCTTACACGCGAAGGCCTGATCGAAGTGGATGCATGTATCTCAAGCGTGGTATTGACATATAAATAAGAAAGTTAGAGCTCTGGGTCAAATATATAGTATTTTTTTGTGAGTAGTAGAATGCATACACTAAATATCATCCTTAATTTCAGGTATAACACCTTTTGGTTTGAGCAAGTGTAAAGTACAGTGATGAATTGGCGGCCTGGGTCCTGGCTGTCTGCGCAATAGTTACCGCAAGTTCGAGATGGAAAGTGCTCTTTAAGGTGTGCATTTCCGTTGCTCTTAATGTTCCTTAACGAACATTAAGAATCGCAATATTGGGGTCGCCCAGCTTTGTAGTAGTACTATCCACAAAAATATCCAGGGTGTCTTTGAGAACTGTCTCGATGAGATAAACAAAGCATCAGTACAAGAAGTAACGGTAACGTACTCGTAATTCTTACTAATAATGAATGCGCAATACAGATGGTGACATCAATAAATACAGTCAACCAGCAAAATATCACCTCGATATAATTGCAAAGCATCTCAATTTTACGGAATCGTGGTCACCACATGGTTACGTCCTTTACTTTAAAGCATACGGTAAATGGGCACTGGGATAAGCTTTACACTGACGGTAAAAGGTCATTTATAAACTAACCAACATGGTAGACAATTTGAAGGCCATTCTTCACGAGATTCAACCGCCACTTCATCGACGACATACATTTGTAGTGCAATCGTCACCCGCGTCTAGTTCAGCTCATTCTCCAAATATTTGGCGTCCAGTGATGCCGAAAAGTCGACGATCAACGTTAGTGGCCGGTGCAGAGGGCACTAACCGACTTTTGTCGAGTAGCGACTCGTCGATGCGAACAATTCGATCCCTCAGTGATGCCCCGACGCCAAATACCATTTACAGCAAATCGACGTTTGCACTGCATAATATCGACGTGTTAAGTGTCCAGCGAGCCAAAGTGATTCGCCATGTAAATGACGAGCGATTTGTGCGCATTTGCAACTATTTCGAGAGCCACCAACCGGAATTAGCTAAGGAGATTCAAGCTCAAAATGCATCCTCTCGAGAACAATTATATGCATGGATCAATTACATTGTTAGTCCAAAGGTATTGAACTATTTCCAGAAAACACAAGAGTCACGACAAAATGTTCTAGACTTAATTATGGTCGCTGCTGCGATATCAAAATATGGCGAGAGTGAGTTAATATCAAAAGACAGTAGAGGTGAACTTGGTCATCAAGATTCGGAGACATCGCATACGATGGATTTCGTACTGAGGCTGAACGAGCAATTAGGTGAAGAAAAGCGTGTTGGCAGTGTCGTTCTTTGCGAAGTTTTGGCGCATGCACGCACGATGACAGTTGAGAAGAAAGGTGATGATATAAATGACGATAATGACCAGCACAAGGAACTCGTGACGAGAGTTCAGTCGGAATGGTTTCAAGAAGCCATGGTAAAGTCGAATGGGCGATATCTTTATGATTCAATTCGCCAGTATCTTACTAGTGTGAGCAATCCGTCATGGGATGTGTCAAAGGACAGAAGGGAGTTGAGGCGAGAACGACTCGATCAAGTGATATCCGAGGTTGTGCAGGAAAAGATGACTTCACAAGATGAATGCCAGAAACGACTGCGACGACCTCCTCCTCCTCCTCCACGCTTGAGTGATGTTACGATGGCAGTGCCGGTTGTGACGTGTCAAGACACAAAAATGAGAATGTCTGACACATATCGATCGTTATCATTGTCTGTAGAAACGATTGAAGAGCTCAATGTTGAGACGGTTACCTTACGACGAAAACTGATTCCTCTCGAAATGACGCAAGTGTCTCGTGGCCTTCCTCCAAAATTACCTCAGCCTAAGTTAAGTGAGCCCTCAATTCGCACGTCCAGTAGTGTCGAAGTTAAAGTTTATGAGTAGCATGTGATATATTACGTGTGTGCGTAGATATTATGTCTACTCATGTTAAAATTCCAAAGTTTATTACGTAACAAAAGAAATTTAGAGTTTCTGTGTCACAATTGGTCGGGAGTAATTGGATGTGGCAGCGGTATGATCGACTTCTTATCGACATCTCGAGGCAGTGCCTTCCTCATATCTTAAAACATATAAACTTTATGTCAATAAAACCCTTCGTGAACTCAAATCATTATAAGCTCATACCAAACGCATCTTCTTTGTCTTCAGCACTCGAATAATATCCAAGGACGCGCCTATAGACTGAGTAGCCAAATTTCTCATACATCTGGATGGCTAGCGAGTTGGAGACACGCACGAAAAGGTCGACAAAGTAGCCATTGTAAAGTTCTATCGACACATTCTCCAGATAGTCCATAAGCTTTTTTGCTAGTCCTAAACGTCGAAACTCGGGAGCAACAGTCACTGCCGTCACGTGTCCATGCCAATCAGTCCCTTGGCCCTCGGCCTTGCCCATAACTGCGAAGTAAAACACGAGAATTTAGATTCTAACGGAGAATTATCAGTAGGTTATACAAAAAGGGTAACATACTGTAACCCATGATGGTGTTGTTCGGGTCCAATTGTACCAGAAAATAGTCCGGCCATTTTGAGAGATACTGGAGATAGAACGACACGTTGTACTTGACAGCAAGACACAGTCAATGTATTAAGGTTCAAACGATTCAAAGAGAGTGAATAAATCTAACTGTTTCCGTCAGCACGTCCAAGTTGACATTATTAAACCGGAAAAGGTCGTCACAACAGAATTTGCGCGTGGATGTCATGACAGATAAAATGGAGTGGTACAGTGTACCTGCAACTATGGGTAACCAGAAAAATAGCATTTGGAGCTACTACTGAAGTCTTTTTTTTGTATCACAAGGTCTCAACCGACCGACCATCAATGGACGACGAGCTCCATTTACCTCGTTCGTACTACTTGGTGCACGCTGAAGCTGCGGAAGACAATGGCGTTGAAGTTCGAAATTCAAACATACCAGGAGCAGGAAAAGGATTATTTGCCACGCGGCTTCATGTTCGAGGCTCTATAATTTGCGAGTACTCGGGGATAGTATTACCCAACGAAGCGGCGTGGAAAGTCAAAGACAAGTCGTACCTTATGAAAATGGGTGACAACGTCTACGTGGATGCTCAGGATTGTCCCGATGTTCTTGCTCGGTATATCAACGACTGCAGAGGACACCGTGGAGGCTTCAATGTCCACTTTGTAAAGCGACCAAAGGATGGCAAAGCCGATGTCGTTGCAATGCGAGACATTAACTCAGGTGAAGAGTTGTACGTTAACTATGGTCGACTCTATTGGCTCGCTTACAACATGATGCACCCGAGTAACCCCGTGCGATAATTTATGAAGTGAATTGCTCCTAGTGTAGCAGAATTGCCTCAATTAATGAATGAAATACAAAGTACTAACATTAATACTCTCGAAGCGACGCCGAAATAGCAGCTGCTACATCTTCTTCACTGGTGCTTCGTAGTTTTGAAGCTGTACCCCTCGACTGCCCAGCGCTGCTCACGTTGCTCGACAGCGACAACCTTGCGCTCTGCGTAAACAGCACTGATCAATACGGATACTGTGGAATTTTTATAAAATCTGTAATTTACCTGTCGTGCAAGCTCATCGTCTGAAATATTATCTTCTGAAGCGTCCACCGCAGCCTTCTGCATGGCGGCGATCTCCGCTTCTGCGATCTCCAGGAAAATGCGCTCACGATTAAAATCGTAGTCAAAGATGTCCTACTGAACATAAATTTAGCTCATTAATCTATGGAAATGTGACAGAGTGATAAAATAGTCTCTTATGTCACCCGCTGCAGCAGATTTTCGTTTAATGAAGGCATCACTGGCGTGGGTGTGAACGTCGTATTAAGCATAATTTTACAGTGCTGTATAAATTAAAGGCGTTTGATGTGTCAGCAATACAAATGGCACGATATTTAGGTCGCTCAATACCTTGAGAATGGCAGTGTGGCCGCTTGAGTGCTCTGGAGACGACGGCATGAACGATAGAATTTGTACCTGTACACAATGCACTTTAAGCAAATAATTGAAATTATGCTTTACGTAGTGTAATATTGTAGGTAACTGCAACAGTGATAAAAATTGAATTTACACTCGATGGCGCAAATCCCGTTTTTGCGCTGTCTTCAAAAGCTGTCTCGTTCCAGCCCCTGCCAGCCCCCCACCAGGGCCGAAGCCACTTCGTGACGATGTCAAAGGCACTCCAGGGTAAATCAAATAATTTAAACAAGGGGGGGTGAGTAATGCACTGCGTTTTGTAATGCACGTTCGATAGGTGAAAGCTACTGCTCCAGCATCACCGCAGGTGCTGTTGACAGTATTCTCTAATCCCAGAAAAAATGATTTGACGGGCCATATGTGTATGGATGGTCAGCGGTTGACATGTCAAACCTGGTGCCGAGCACTTTGCACAATGTTTGTCAAAGCTTCACTATAGAGCACGGTTCCTGATTCGACACAGTTGCCACCAGCTAGCCACGTTAGCGATACCTTGGTACAGGTTTGACTGCATTCTCACCTGGAAATCAGCAATATAAACTATTTTGCTCATACAAACCTACACAGCCGGTATGACTGGATGCGACGTTTCGAAAGAAAGATTTATGATTATGGACTAGCAACCTTCTGCCGAAATCGACAAGTCGTCTAAATACACCAATGTATTTGGCGAGGATTCTACCCATTGGCACGTTTCACATCAGCGCACATCTGTGATATCTCACCGTACATAGTACTTTGTCCTAGTTAGCCACAAAACGTTGAGTGTCGCGTTTGGGCCAGTGCTGAATACAGCACACATTGATACACGGAAAAGCGCCGTAACGTGCAACCAGGTGCTCAGATATACGGAATCCGAGCTCTTAAAATACTTGCTCCCAAAGCTTTCGTATGTTGCACCCCAGCCGTACGCTCTTCGTATTGCGTCATCAATTGGGGACGACGCCATTGCAACAATAAACAGTATGTAGTGAGGTAGACACAAAATCGCAACGCCAACATTAAGCTAACTCGGCTTTGGCCATACTTCGAACGTATACACGGCAAAGAAGGATATCCCTTTTGCCAATTTCTGTGGACGATTTGGTGACAGCGTCACTGTGTGCTTCGTTGCGTGATCACTATGGATACTAACGGCTTATTACCAGCCAAGTGAGTTTAAATGTGACTAGAGCATAATTCACTAAGAGTAGTTCCTTGTGGTGAACAGCGTTATTTCTCTCTGCTTGTTTAGGCTTGCGAAACCCAAACGCGATCCATCTGCATCTGCTTGGAGTTAAGCACAGCCTACGCGTAACAGGAATCACCCGTCCGTGAACACACAGCGAGGGAGGCTTAGGTCAACTGACAAGCCTCACCGCGTGTTGCTCACTTCCAGCGAATCGATTGCCGTCCGGTGACTGGCGATGCTCTTCGAGCTTTAGAGAAAAAATACCGTCGTCATCGGCATTCCGCCTAGAGCCTTCCCGAGGTTGCCTACCGCTCTGCGGAAGGCCTAGAAAGTCTAACGCACTTTGTGCACCGACTGCATCACGTTGATGATTATCGTGCTCTGTTGGGGCGGCTCCTAACCATCGAGCAGACGAATTCGTCACTTCGTGCGATGGTGGAGCGCCTTGCACCGTCAAAAACTGAAATCGTTGCGCTCCGTGCTCAAAAGCAGTTGTATGATCAGCTTCTGGGTGGCCAGGCGCCTTTGGGCGCCGTCCGGCTCCGATGCTTTTGCAATCACTTGCCGTACCGGGAACCGGCTTAAGCTAGCCCAAATAAAACACCGGGTGGGTGCGCATCCTTCTCGGAAGGTTCAGCGTATACGCAAGGCCTCGCTTGTTCACGACCTTAAAAAAACCAATAACCGTGGACGGAGCTTTGTCTTAAAGACAGCAGAGACTGCATGTGTAGGAAGGGTTTTAGTATTTGATAAAACCAGGTCTCCGACCTCAAAAGTTTTCCACATATCTTCTGCTTCCTTCATCTACATAGTCTTCCTGCATGTCTCAGCCTTTGCATCACGAGCGTGTCGTAAGACACTCAGTCTGGAAGTCAGGAAGTCATCAACTTCATTTCGGAAAGTGACAGGGCTGACATCAGCTAGCCGTTCGGCGGTCCCCCCGCCAAGCCCTGCGCCATGAGATGGTGACGTCAGCGTAACGCGAGAGTTTACAAATTTGTCCACGTAGAACGGCGTGTAGCCGGGAGATGAATGCACTGCATTGTTCAGAGCATCCTCTACGAGTGGTAGGTAGCATGGCGCTCCAGCGCTTCGGCGTCTCAGCGCAGACGCTGCGACAAAGTCTTTAACTACGCGATTCACGCGCTCGGTTTGACCATCGGTCTGCGGATGGTCCGCTGTTGGCATAGACAACTTGGCGCCCAGCATTCTGAAGATTGAAGACTAAAACTTCCCAGTGTAGCGCGGGTCTTTATCAGAGACAATTGACTCCGGGAGTCCATGCTGTCGAAAGACACGATCGACAATTAGCGCCGCTTTGCCGACATCGTCGATGGTGTCCGGCACTGCGCAAGATGAGCCATCTTGCTCAAACGGTCCACAAAGAACACCACACCCGCGTTGCCGGCAGAAATTTTGGGCAGGTCAAACACAAAGTCCACACTCTCGAAGTGCCAACAACAGGAGGGAACCGGCAAACTGGCCAGCGGCACCGCCGCATTTGGAGAGGGTTTCACCCTCTGACACTTCAAGTTCGTGCGCACATATGTGTTCGACTATTTGTACATCTTAGGCCAACAGTAGTGGCAACTCACTAGGGTTGCCACATGGGTTGACGCAGACCTGTACGTCTTCTCACAATGAGATTACCACTGAGTAGAGTGTATCGGGCCTCGTAAAGGATACGGAATTTCAAATCCTCGCCGTGAGGAAACACCATTTGTGGCGTATCCGTCAAATCGGTGCTATAATACAGCAACCAGTTTCTTGTCCGAGTTTCTAAACTCCTTGTTCCCGAGGATCTGTAGCAGCGCTACAGACATACCATCACCCGCGTATGCGGCGCGGATCAAATCCGTCACTTACGACGTCACCGTCGTGACATAAGCAAGCTCATAATCTGGTCTGCGTGCAACGCATCAGCCAAAGCATTCTGCTTTTCTGGCCTGTACTTCACCTTGAAGTGATATTCTGCAAAGAAGGAAAGCCATCTAGCCATCCTCTGCGAGAGGTGAGGCAACTGAGTCGCAGTGCGTAATGAAGCATGATCTGTGTAGATCACAAACAGCTTTGAGCCTAGAAGGTGCACCCTGAACTGGCAAGTGCATACTTCATCACAAGGTATTTCTTGTCGCGGACTGGGTAGTTCCTCTTCGCAGCCTTAAGCTGGCGAGAATCGAACGCAATCACCCGATCTCGCCACTCGGCGTCTGCATGCAGCAGCGCACAGCCGATGGCAAAGTCCGAAGCGTCACAGACTACACTAAAAGAACGATCGGGGTCTGGCAACGACAGTATTAGTGCATGAAGGAGGATGTCTTTGATTCTATCAAAAGCCTCCCGATGCCTGGTGTCCCAACACAATTCCGTATGGCCGTGCCCTTTCCACATAATTTGCGCTATACTTGTGCAAGTAGTTGACGAGGCCAAGCCACTTGCGCAAGGTCTTTTGGTTCTTTGGAACCGGCCAATCCACAATGGCGTTGACCTCAGCGGGATCCGCTAGAAGGCCACGCTTTCCGATGAAGCGCCCTAAAAAGGGAATTTCTTCCCCACCAATGATGCACTTATCTGCATTAGTATACAGTTTATATGTGCGCATGATTTCGAGCACCGCTATCAAATGGACGTTGTGGTTTTACTCATCTGTTCTTCCATGCCCCGCACAACTGTGGACGAAGATGTCATAGAAGTATGTTTGTGCATACGCCCGGTGGGGCCTGAACAACTGCGTCACAAGACAATCAAATGTTGCTGGTGCATTTATAAGCCCGTGGGGTATCACCGGTCACTTCCAGAGCATGTCGCTCGGAGTTCTCACTGCTGTCAGCGGAATATTACTCGCTCTCATGAGAAATTGATAATTTCCATCGACCAAGTCGAGTAAGCTATACCTTGTACAGTTAACCATATTGTTTCATAGAACATCTATTCTAGAAATTGGCGTCTACTGGAATGGTGGCAGCGTTTAGCTCATTGTAAGTGTGAACGATACGCCACTTGCCGTTCGGCTTCCGGACACAATAAGTGGGTGTCGGATGGGGAATGTTACACTCACGCACCATTACTGCGTCGTGCTTCATACGGAAAAAGGCGTCAATGACGTCAAATGCTCCTTGGGCAGGGGCAATTGGCGTTTTTCGCAGTATTTGTTTTCCGAAACCAGGTTAATCTCATGACGCGCACCTCGGTACGAACGTAGGACGGATGGCGGGTCTTTGGAGACGACGTCTTGATATTCCTTTACCGAAGGATAGTACAGATCCGAGGGATCTTTCAGGATCGACCATCCACTTTGTGCGTTCAGCACCCTCTTAGTGTCCTTCAGGACAGCTTCATTCAGAAGCGATGACGAGTTGATCTCCTCTCCCGGTCGTATAATAACCACCTCGGCTAAATCGCCTGCCTTCAAGGCACCGCAAACTCTTTGAAGGAGATCTTGTCCAGCTCAAGACGAGCATCCACCGCGGGAAAAGCCTCGAGGGTGACGTCGCTGTCTTCCTCCCCCGTCAAACAGTTTACAGGGTTATGTAGCCATCGTCTACGGTAGACACACCTTGGGTCAGGATCAACGCCCTGCGACTTTGCTAACATATGGCATCGCCGACTACTTTCTATAGAGGTCTTACGTTTTGGTGAGATCAGTGGGAATACACACTCGGTGTGGTCCAGTATTCCAGCTCCCTAATATATCGGATCCTTGATATTATCAACAGCATCCAACTAAGAGCTGCTCTTTCCGCAGTCTTTGTCCAGTGGATAACATGCCACTCCACTCGCATCAGAAGGGCCTTGCACAAGATGCCTCGGACCTCGTCCCACCATGCCACTCTTGGCATGCAGCAACTGCTCCAAAGCGTGGGCAGTGCTCAGTTTATTACGTGCCACTCCACGCGCATCACTAGGGCATCGACCTCGAAGCCTCGGACCTCGTCCGGCCATGCCACGCTTGGCATGCAGCAACTGCTTCGTTACACGTGATCAGTGCTCAGTGGTTTACGTGCCACTCCACGTGCATCAATGGGACCTCGCCCTCGATGCCTCGGACCATGGCCGACCATTTCACTCTTGGCACGCAGCGACTGCTCCAATACTTAAGCAGCACTCAGTGGATTACGTGCCACTTTAGGTTCAGCCCGCGAGCCAGGCTCGGGACCCCTGGTTAAAATACCCTTGGTGTTCGTCAAGTCGGATACTCCAATATCCAGCATATTGACCGTTACGGTCCAGTGCCCGCGCTAATAGCGCATCCTAGCAGAGGTGGGTTAATGATTCACCAAAGCTACACCCCAAGGTCTTCGACCTCCAATCAATCTCTGGATCATGGTGTTCCACCCATGCCATACCAAGGATAAGGTCATACCTTGCGTTCAAGTCTAAGACTAAGCATCATTCCACGCTATCAAAATCAAGATACTTGACACCGAGGTCCACAGGGACTGACACAAGTCCCCGTCGCTAAGCGAACAGTGACGGTTTCACTCAACCACGCTTTCAGCGCCTCAGCATTCATCTGACTTCCTTCGATCGTGGAACGTCGGGCATAATTGCCCGCCGCCCCGGAATCGATAAGGATTTCCCATGGCTTCTTCACAGTCGCTTTTACGACCAGCAAGTTGGATGTACCCGGGAGTTTTATTGTGCCGGCATCATGTCTGGAAAAAATTCCATGTAAATGGTCCCGACTACCGGTTTTGGCTAAGACATATGTTGCAATTCCTTGCAACTGTTTGATGTAGCTTAACATAAAAAACGCTATAAGGAGATACATAAAAGTTTAGGTATGATTAGGAACGACACACCTTTTTAGGAGTCGTGTAAGCCATGTCAAGCACGTGCTGTAGGGTTTCATTCATTAGACTCTAACTAACCCCTCTCTACCCGGCCCGGGGATTGAACCCTGGACCTCCAGGTTCTAAAGTGAACAGCATACCACTGCACCACAGAATTGGTAATAAAAGTTTAGATGCAACGCACATTGTTGCTTGAGTATCAAAATGCCTTGTACTTTGAGGGACTAAACGATCGTGTCCATTTTTGTGCATGCCATTCACGCTTGGTGATTAATAGCACGACGCAATGTCGCTCCGGCTGGAGTAGCGCTGAGCTATCGCGGCCTCTCATTATTAGAAGAAGAGTCATTTTCCTCCAATTTAACGATGGGAATACAAAAAGGTCTTGCTCAATGGCGAGTGGGGCCGGTGGTGGTATTTTGCCAGCGTCCGATTGGTTGGAAGTTTCTCACTCGCACGTTCTAATTGAACCTGGAAGTGGTTACACTTCCAGGTTCAATTAGAATGTGCCGGTAATGCTATCTCCTCGGAATCAACTACAGACAAAATTTTATCCAATGTATCCTGTTGATGCGAGAAAGTTAGGTAACTCTTCCAGGTTCCAAGCCCACGGAGGATACCGATCCATCGAGACCCATTTCTTGGATTAGTTAGAAAATATGGTTGCTGTGGTATCATGCAAAGCGTCAACTCTGAGCTAACAAACTTGAAGAGGATCCTCACGAATGACATTAACAAGACGGGACCGGGTGCACACTGTAAAATAATTGCTGCCAGCATGTCTATCATCAAAGATAAATGTTACTGCACACATTGACCATCATAACTATATAAATTTCATCGCAATCTGTTTGAAGCTGATATAAATACGCATCGTCTTGCACCATAAAAAACGTATCGATACTAGGAGTATGTAACGGAAATGCACGACGAGATTTTTGATCCTAAAAGCCCGCGTCTTTGTCAACAATGCATCAATAATGGGTTCGTACACGAGCGGAAACAAGGACCGCTTGAATAACACTGCAACTATTTGCTCTATCTTAAATTTGAATTGAACTGTCGCTTAGTATTATGTCGTTTTAGAACTAAAAACAAACTTCTCAATTTATCTAAACTCAGTCGTAAAAGCGTATGTATTGAATGACGCAAGGCTAGTTAGTAGCCCACGTGTCCCTCGAACTTCATTTTTTATGTTTTCATCGCGCCATCAATACCAGTTCTCGATACGCTTCTATTTAGCACAATTGCACAAAATTGTACTACGTGCGTTCACGATAGTATGATACGTACAATCTTTAACCCTCATCTTCAGATATGAGCCACAATATGGTTTGTTTTTATAATTATCTCGCAATCGTAAGCAATCCACCGCGTTTAATGTATAACTCCACTACTTGCACCTTGAGCGCCAGTTAAGTTGCCTCACCAGCGTCGGGGACACTGTGTCCACGGCTCAACGAGAATTCGATAAAAGCGCAATCCTTGGGTCCATCATCAATAGGGCTTATTAGAAAAAAATATTTTTACTAGTATTTACGGTGGAGAAACCAAGGCGCTCTCAGATTAGAGTGGTCATACTTACTCTTTGGGTCTCAACCGTACACCTTTGTCTTCAATGGAGGCATTCAGTTTCGACATCCACTGAAAAAAGGCTTTCTGTACATCATTTGTCTCATCAATACCATTTGCTCATTCCGTTTTTGTTCTGTAAATTACAGTGCCGCGACATCTCGCCAAAACCTCACGTCGACATCCAGCTTGTTACCAGAAAGCTGGACCTAGCATAGCACGCTGAGCTTGCCCATCTACAAACTTATAAGCGCGACGACTTGTGTGGACTCAATCAGGTCGTGATTTTAATTTATTTTTTGACTCATTTGTCATTATACAATGCTGGAAATAAATCCTACGCGCCTACGCGCGTGGGCTTTTTTCTCAGATTAGGAGCGCTTAAACGCTCCGTGAACGCTTCTCGACCTTTTTGGTCACAATATTTAAGTAGTATCGCTTGCGCTTGGAGTCACAGCGGGCGAATAAACTCGTTCCTTCCTAGTAAATCATAGCTTAGATACTGGAAGCTGGCAAATTGCCGAAGCGTATCGCACTCCGTAAGCACACATGATGTTAAAGTACGACGTATGTACACCAGCTTTAGGAAAGCAAAGGTCCGACAAAATGCCATTTTTCACGCATTGCAACGTACACAAGCGCGACGGCAGGGTCTCCAACGCTGTAAAAAAGTGCGATGCACTGAACGACGTCTTTTCCTGTGGATATATTGAATGTTTGAAGGTGCGGTGAGGGGTAAGCGTCAACTGCATCATAGCATCCCTGCCGGCTGAGCATCGGCGTGTTGCATGTAAATATATCACCCTCAGTCTAGTGTCTCGCACTCGGTGCACCGTCTCGCACGTGCGCACATGTTTGTTTACCCACTTATATATGTCGAGCCACCAATACATAGCGCTCACCCAGCAGTATGTCTTATTTCATCCGAGATAGCTACTAAAATGTATTTCGTACAGTATGTCTTACTTGAGATTCACAGACACGCTGAGTGTAGTGTGAGTCAGTGCTGCAATGCAGCAATCATTGGGTAAGGCACAGCGATGCGTGCAACAACTCGCGACATCTGAGTTTTCGAATTCCATGCCACCCAAAGCTTTCGGAAGCGCATCCGCCACCACATCAAGCTGACCTGACCGCAAAAAACTACCCAACATAGTGTTTTAATTACAGCACTTTTCTCTTGAGAAGCTGTGGTGACAACATATCTGTGTCACAGCGACCCATGGTTTGTATAAATACAAACAGCTAAGGTTCAAACAGGTGCACCATAAGCTTGCGATGGAATAGTTCATTACAAGTAGCTTATTGCCCTGGCGGGACTCCAATGCAATATTGCATCCAAGTCCCCTAAAGTTTGCTTAAAATTAAGCAAAGCCTGTGACAAAGGCCTAAGTTTCACAGTCATCATGTTCCCCTTATTCTGCAGAGTCAGATCCGGGGCACGCAAAAGGCTTTGTTTTTACAGCCCTTTCTGCCGCAACCTAGCACCATTAAAATCCTTTTAAGGACGTTGGTGAGGGTCCATGCGATATCGCAATCACATTGCGCTTGGTCAAGTCATTTCTTTTAGTTACTCTGGGATTCAGATTGAGCATGGTATATCTGCAATGGTACTTGTCTTGGCAGGATCTACCCATTAGCCAAGCTTTTCAGTGAAGCCGCCCGAAATGTGCATCACGTCGGCATACAGCTTATTTAAGTGTATGCACCCAGGCACACAACGCAAGTGTATCATGTGATTCTCCGCATATGGCCGGGCGTGCTTTGCGCGGAGATGAACGGGTAAGCCGTCAGAATGTGATGCGCATAGCCATGATGTGAATTGAACAGCTGCGACACCAGACTATGAAAATTGCTGGTGCAATCGAATATCCTTGTGGCATGATTGGATACTCTTCGAGTATCCTGCTCGGATAACCATTGTAGTTATAGCACATTATTGTCTCTCATTAGCAGTTGTTCATACCACTCGTTTGAGTCAAGTGCACTGAGGATTGTAAACATGCTGATCTACAGCACATTGTACTATGAATTAGAATCTTCGCCAGGATAGTGGCTACAATATGCATGTATTACAAGCACAATTCGCCGCTTGTGGTTAGACTTTTTGACGCAGGCACCCAAAGAGAATCCGCCTCGTGTTTTGAGCAAATCAAAACAATGAAAACGTCGGACTGCACGTTCGCAGGGGCAGTTGTTTAGTGTTGTATTATCGGAGATAACATCCGAGGTAATTTACACTCTCAGATCAGAGGGCAACACGCACAGTGCGTCACTTGTCATCACTTCATGATATTTCTGCAACGACGAATGAAAGGAATATATAAGGGTAGCTGTCTAACTCGCAGTTAGTGCTCCGCACATGTCTGCGATAATGGACTCGCATATGGATGACGAGATCAGCTCTTTCTTCAGTACCCCTCGTATAACTCAGTAATTTCACCGCCTAGTAATAGTTTTCAAACGCCCCGAGAAATGACGCCTCAAGACCAATAAAAGCTGTTGCCGAAGGTGGTGAAGGGAGCCTAACAATCACTTGCCGTAAGACATCATCGGTCAATCCATTCACTAGTGGTTTAGTCTTGCCAAGGTACTCAGTGGGTTTTCTCGCAATATGCTATCTGCTTCGTACGATGGGTGCAGCGGGGCTGGCTGCCATGACTCTTTACTTAGACGAATCTAAGCTAAGGTCACCGACCTAACGCTCTTTACAAAAACCAGTACGAGTGCAGTGGATCTGCGGATGCGCACCTACCCGGTGTTCTACGTGGGCTTGCTCTAGCCGTACCGGTTTCCGGCGCCTGTGAACGCGGAAGCGTTGGCGCCGGAGCAAGTCCCACGGGCTCTCGGCCACTCAGAAGGTGAACCAGTAACTGGTTCTGAGCACGGAGTGCAACAACCTCCATTTTTAATGGCGCCAAGCGCTCCACCGTTGCCTGCAGCGATGCATTCGCCTGCTCCAAGGCTAGGAGTCGCTCCGACAGAGAGCGATAGTCCTCAAGACAAGGCAGCTGGTGCACGATGTGCTTTAAATCGTCAAGAGCGTCCGCACAGCGATATGCTATTTCAGCATGACGCTCAGCGGAGCT